ACCACTTCAACCCATAAGAGCACAGCTATAACCACTTCTACCATAACAGAAACACTAACAACTCCTGGAGAGACCCCTTCTGCAGCTGCGACTACAGCAACAACTAATGCCACTACCCCTGAAGAGACAACCACAGTTGCCTTTACCACCACTTCTCTTCCTGAAAGCACAACAGGAGCTTCTTCACTTATTCCAGAGACCTCCACAGCTCCTCGGGAGTCCATTTCCCTGGCTGAGACTACAGCAATAACTAGTACGACTATAGTAGAAGAGACAACCACGGTTGCGCTTCCCACCACATTACCTCAGAGCACAACCGTAGCCACTTCTGCTGGTCCAGAGACCTCCACGGCTCCACTAGAATCTACTTCCTTAGCAGAGACAGCAGCAATAACTATTGCCTCTACAGTCAAGGAGACAACCACACTTCCCCTTCCTACAATTTCACAGCCTGAAAGCACAGCTGCAGTTACATCTCCTATTCTAGAAACCTCCACAGCTACTCTAAAGACCACTTCCTTAGCTGAGACTACTGCAATAACTAGTACCACTAACGTAGAAGAGACAGCCACGGTTGCCCTTCCTACCACTTCAACCCATAAGAGCACAGCTATAACCACTTCTACCATAACAGAAACACTAACAACTCCTGGAGAGACCACTTCTGCAGCTGCGACTACAGCAACAACGAGTTCCAGCTCCGTGGAGGAGACAATCACAGCTTCACCTCCTACCACTTCAGTACCTGGGAGCATGGCTGTAGCTACTTCTACTATTCTAAAGACCTTCCCAGCTCCTGTAGAGACTACTTCCCAAGCTCAGTCTTCAGCAATAACTGGCTCCTCTACTGTGGAAGAGACTACCACGGTTCCTCTTCCTACCACTTCGTTACCTAAGAGTACCCCTGTAGGGACATCTACCATAGCAGAAACATTCACATCTCCTTTAGAGACCGGTTCCTCAGCAGAAACTACAGCAGTAACTACTGCCAGTACAGTGGAGGAGACAACCACAGTTGCCCTTCCGACTACTTCCCCAGTTGAAACAACCACCACTCTGGCTATCACCACACCAGCCCCTGTGGCCACATCCCGCACTGAGACCACAACTGGAGTCACTTCTATTTTACCGTTGACATCCACGGTCCGTCTTGAGACAAGTTTGCCCTCTGAGACCACAAGAATTCCCAGCACCTCTAGAGAAGTTGAGACACCCACAGCTGCCCTTCTTGTCACTTATCCCACCGCGACCACAAGTGCAGTCACCTCCTCTTTAGCAGAGGCATCCACAGTTGCTGTTACGGTGACTTCTCCGGCTGAGACCACAGTGACACTGTCTCCCACCACAGCAGGTCCTAAAACATCCACATCTGCTCTGGAGACCAGTTCCTCAGCTGAGATCCCAATAGCTTTGGGCACCACTACAGAACTGGGGACACTCACAGCATCCCCTGTCACCACTGTTCTAGCAGAGACTACTAAAACATCACCCATTGCTACAGCCGCAGAGAGAAGCACAGCGGCTCCAATCAGTACTACCCCTGCTGAGACCACAACAACTTACACCTCCACTACACGACAGGGAACAACCACATCTGCCCTTTTTACAACTTCCCCAGCTGAGACCACAACCGCTTTGGGCGTCCCTATCAGAGGGGAGACAACGGCAGCCATCTCTGTGACAACCACAACATCGCTTTCACCTACCACAGCTGCTTTGACAAGTAAGGGCATTGTTTTCCTCTTGTGTATCCTTTGTAGTTGCATAATTTGCTTTCCCATGAGTTCAGACCCATTTTAAGCAGCAGGAGTCCGGGTTGTCATCCTTTTGAAGTCACATATTAAAAGAAACCATTTTTATTAGTGTTTATCTAACTAGATTGGAGATATTTTGAGGATAAAAAAATATGGTTTCATGCTACCTAGAGTAATTGAATATTATTTGGGATAGAGGTGGGAAAATGTAGACTTTCCCTCAGTATAGGAAACAAGGGAGATATGAACATAAAAGAAAAAATATATAGAACATATGGGAGTGTCTTATTATAAAAATGTTGCCTGATTAACTGAAGTTAAATAATCTTCTTGAAACTTATTAACGAACATAAATAAATATGGGAGCAAAGGGGAATACAAATTGACAAGAAAGTTATTGAAACAGGAATTCTCTGCATTTTTCTTGGTAGTTATTTCCCATTTACAACCTTATCTTGAAAGCTTGAAGTGGAAATATTAAGTACTAAAGCCCCAATTCAGTAAAATTAAGGTCCAGGGAGTAGGAAATGGAAAAGAGCAAACTATAGATTGACTCTCTTATATATGTTCAACATGTAAATTGTGATAAACATACCTAGAAAAAATTCGCAACTGGGGAAAAAATGTTGGAATGTTCAAGCTAAAACAAACACTGTGTATGTTCACAATGACCATATATTATTGATATGCATATTCCATTGATTTTCACTCAACATGTGGTATAAGCACCTATGTAAAATAGCATAATGGAGATACATTTCTCTACACAGATCGTGAAATAACTGAAATAATCTACCAGAAGACCGTTAAGCCAGTGGAACAAAATAAAGATAATGTCACAACAACTCAGACAACTTCTGTGGTTAAAATCACAACCACCACCACCACTAAAGGTACAACATTACAGAGTACCACCAAAGCAGCAGCTCCTGTGATCCCAAACAAACCTGGGACTACAACAACATATCTCACAACAGGAGCAGAATCCATCACCACAGCCCCAGTGACCACTTCCACAGCTGAGACTAAAACTGCAGCTACCTCTACGTTAGCAGAGGCATCCACTTCTGCTCGTCCAACCTCCTCCCTAGCTGAGCCCACAGTGCTAATTAGCACTTCCGCATCACAGCCAACCACAGTCACTCTGCCTGCTAGTTCAACGTCTGTTATGACCGTTGCAGCCACCTCTGCAACAACAGAAACGTCCACATCTCTACAGACCACTTTCCCAGGTGAGACTACAGCAGTAATTAGTACCTCTACAGTAGAGAGGAAAACAGTATGAGTTTCTCCGATGCTTACTTCATGTATGAATGCCTAGACAGATGGATAGTTAATGGTGACCCCTGCTTTTTACTATAGATTTATATTTTACAGTGTTTTGCCATTATTCTTAGTAGAAGTAAAACCACATACTCATGTCAGCCAGTTGTTTTGCCCAACTTAGAGATGGCATCCTCAAAAGTACCACAACCCACTCTATGTACTGCTTGCACGTCCCTTCAGATGACAACTTCCTTCTTTCCAGCCAACAAGCGAGACCTTTTCTTGGGCTAGATTCTTTAGACAGGATCAAAAAATGCTAATAGGGAAGCTTTGGTCTTTGAAAGGTATAATTTCCAAAAGCATCTAGGGTATGTCCAGATTTTCAGTAGGACATAATCACTTAGATCAGGGGTTCTCAAACTGGGGGTCAGGACCCTCCAAGGGGTCGCGAGCTGTCAGCCTCCACCCCAAACCCCGCTTTGCCTCCAGCATTTATAATGGTGTTAAATATATTTAAAAGTGTTTTTAATTTGTAAGGCTTGCTATGTGAAAGGGGTCCCCAGTACAAAAGTTTGAGCACCACCGACTTCAATGCTTCTGAACAGGGTCGGCTCCAGCATTTCTGCCGCCCCAAGCAAAAAAAAGCCACGATCGGCGGCGGAAGTTCTGCAGCAGGTCTTTTGCTCCTAGAGGGAGTGAGGGACCTGCCGCCCCCGAATTGCCGCAGGTGCCTCCCCTCTCCCTTGGCCGCCCCAAGCACCTGCTTGTTAAGCTGGTGCCTGGAGCCAGCCCTGCTTCTGAAAATGTTACTCTAAATGTTCAAATGTTTCTTGGGATGAGTTAGACTGCAGACTCCTTGGGGCCCAGCTCCACACCTTCGCTGTGTGAGAGTGAAGGTCATGCAGCTTTCCTGGAGCATACATGGAGGAGATCTCTGAGCCAGCTCTGCACAGGACATCCTGGAGGGCACAGATGGATCTAGTGGTCCCTACATGCTGTGGGAATTAAGGCCAGTGGTAAAATGGAAAAAAAAATTGTCCCCCCTGCCAGATGGAAATTTTTCATTAATGTTTTGTGCTTAAAACTCTTCAAAAATTCAAAACATTTTGACCAGTTCTAGTGCAAACAGTGTAAAGGGGCTGCAGGATGAATGGCCACCGGTGCCCGCTCTGAGTGTGTGTTGGGGTCAATTTCACTTTCACAAGCCATCCACACAGAGCCGCATTACTTAGGAAATATACAGGGGATGTGAGCTTCAAGCTACCCTTACTCATGCTGAACAGTATTTTACTTATTCACTGGTCTCATTGATTCAATGGAATATACTTAGAGTAAGGGAGTATTCTGCTGGACCAAACGTGGCAGAATCTGGTCCTATGGATGTTAGGAACATGATGTCAGATGAAATTCAACAGAGGCAATTACTAAGTAATACATAGGCTTGGAAGGATGAGATTTTTCTTGATAAATGTCGGTAAACGTCACTTCCACAGTACACACACAAACTGATGAAACAATATTGCCATAATATTGTCATAATAATGGAAATTTACAGATAGGCAAAGTCAGAAAAATGCTGCATGAGAACTTCTCAGAGTTTGCTTTAAAGATGTTCACTTTGTATATTTTGACATGTGATGTTGAAAATTAGTGTATCTATTGTCATTAAATAACTACTGTCTGACACTCCCCACTGACACCCCTCCAATAAAAAAACTAAAAGCTTAAAACTCAATTTTGCACAAATGTGAACATTCAAATCAAGAAAAAATTAAAAATGCTTAAAAATAAACATCTATATTAACTGTCAAAATTATAAAATATTAAAATCAAATTCTGCCAATGCTAGTAATAGAAGGAACAGTTGTTTGATTAGATCTAATCGCGCAGGGAAACGCTGTCAATGTCATTGTGAGCAGACCACAGTCTACGAAGCTTCCAAATAGTATGAAAAAACTTCTGCATATTGTTATTTTGCATAGCTAGAGACAGTCTGATAGTCCAATACAATTGGCAGTCTAATGATAATGGCTTAACAGTTCCTTTAGGAAAATGAAAGATATTTTTATTCCAATATAACGACATCTGTTTTACCAGCTCCATATTATTACTTTCATCATGGGAGAGATCATTGATTTTTCATTCTGCTATTTCATTTTTTGCAGCTGTTTTGCCAATCTCAACGCCCGCTCCAGCAATTGAACATTTCACAGTGAACTTCACCATAACCAATTTCAAATATGATTCACAACTGGGATCTCCTCATTCTGCCCGGTTCAATGCTACTGAGAAAGCCTTGATCTCGTTGGTAAGTAGGACTGGCTCACAGCCTTTCTGGGCAGTTTGGGGTATCTGGTGCTATCAGCAGTACGACAGACTAATGACATCCTCTCTTTGCCAGCTCAACCCAATATTTGGAAGCAGCAGCATCGGCCCAGATTATATAAGATGTGAAGTGACGGCTTACAGGTAAGGATCCAGGCACTGACATTTATTTATAACACTATAGTCTGAGCACACATTTCCTATCTGTTGGTTTAGCATCAGAATAAAGCGGAAATATTTCCCTCTTCCATAATTAAGCCCTACCATACTTCTGTCACTGTGGCTGCAAGAAGAACGTGTTAATGTCAGCATAGGTTTCTAGGGGACACTGAATGGTTAGAGCTTCATAAATTGCCTATTTCCATTATTGATTGGTAGAACATCGTTAAGGGGATTATTTTAGATTCCAGTAATAGGTGTATTTATGAATTACCATCTTATGGTAACAATGAGATCCCAGAATGAAACATATCTCTTCATCATTAGCAAACAATTTAAACACATGAACAAATCTGACATTGGCTTTTCTCTTGTAGACCGGTGAGAGCTGGGAATGACACCGGGGTAGATGCCGTCTGCACCTACAGGCGCGACTCCACTGCTCCCCCGTTTGACAGAGTGGGTGTTTACCATGAAATCCGCAACACGACAAATGGCATCACCAAGCTGGGCCCCTACACCCTGGACAAGGACAGCCTCTACGTCAATGGTAACCAGATGATTTCTTAACAGTTTTCTTTACCGCTCATTCTGGACCATCCTTGCAGCTACTTGTCTCTTCCTTCCCTCCCCACCTGTCTAGCTGCCCTCTAATCATTTTCCCTTCTCATTCCAGGTTATAACGAAGCACCAGCTCTGCCAAGTGAGTATAGTTCAGAATGATCCTTAATGAAAAAATGGGAAAGATACAAACTTGCAAAGTTTAATACAAGACAGGCGGTGAATAGAGCTTGTCTAGAACTGTGAGTCTGCTCACAATGGAATGGAATTGACCCTCTAAGGAGAAATGTCCACAGTACCCTTGTGGTGGGGGGGACGACATAAAATCCCATTTGCGATTTGCGTAATTAGAGATGTGTTCCAGTGTGTCTGAAGCGGTGAGATCATTGATTTTTCATTCTGCTATTTCATTTTTCCAGCTGTTTTCCCAGTCTCAACCCCCGCTCCAGCAATTGAACATTTCACAGTGAACTTCACCATAACCAATTTCAAATATGATTCACAACTGGGATCTCCTCATTCTGCCCGGTTCAATGCTACTGAGAAAGCCTTGATCTCGTTGGTAAGTAGGACTGGCTCACAGACTTTCTGGGCAGTTTGGGGTATCTGGTGCTATCAGCAGTACGACAGACTAATGACATCCTCTCTTTGCCAGCTCAACCCAATATTTGGAAACAGCACCATCGGCCCAGATTATATAAAATGTGAAGTGACGGCTTACAGGTAAGGATCCAGGAACTCACATTTATTTATAACACTACAGTCTGAGCACACATTTCCTATCAGTTGGTTTAGCATCAGAATAAAGCGGAAATATTTCCCTCTTCCATAATTAAGTCCTATGATACTTCTGTCACTGTGGCTGGAAGAAGAACTGGTTAATGTCAGAATAGGTTTCTAGGGGACACTGAATGGTTAGAGCTTCATAAATGGCCTATTTACATTATTGATTGGTGGAACACCATTAAGGGCATTATTTTAGATTCCAGTAATAGGTGTACTTATGAATTACCATGTTATGGTAACAATGAGATCCCAGAATGAACCATATCTCTTCATCATTAGGAAACAATTTAAACACAAGATCAAATCTGACATTGGCTTTTCTATTGTAGACCGGTGAGAGCTGGGAATGACACCGGGGTAGATGCCGTCTGCACCTACAGGCGCGACTCCACTGCTCCCCCGTTTGACAGAGTGGGTGTTTACCATGAAATCCGCAACAAGACAAATGGCATCACCAAGCTCGGCCCCTACACCCTGGACAAGGACAGCCTCTATGTCAATGGTAACCAGATGATTTCTTAACAGTTTTCTTTACCGCTCATTCTGGACCATCCTTGCGTCTACTTGTCTCTTCCTTCCCTCCCCACCTGTCTAGCTGCCCTCTAAACATTTTCCCTTCTCATTCCAGGTTATAACGAAGAACCAGCTCTGCCAAGTGAGTATAGTTCAGAATGATCCTTAATGAAAAAATGGGAAAGATACAAACTTGCAAAGTTTAATACAAGACAGGCGGTGAATAGAGCTTGTCTAGAACTGTGAGTCTGCTCACAATGGAATGGAATTGGCTCTCTGAGGAGAACTCTCCGCAATACCCTTGTGGTGGGGGCGGGAAATAAAATCCCTTTTGCGATTTCAATAAATATGGATCTGGGGAATTAGAGATGTGTTCCAGTGTGTCTGTAGGGCTGAGATCATTGATTTTTCATTCTGCTATTTCATTTTTTGCAGCTGTTTTGCCAATCTCAACCCCCGCTCCAGCAATTGAACATTTCACAGTGAACTTCACCATAACCAATTTCAAATATGATTCACAACTGGGATCTCCTCATTCTGCCCGGTTCAATGCTACTGAGAAAGCCTTGATCTCGTTGGTAAGTAGGACTGGCTCACAGCCTTTCTGGGCAGTTTGGGGTATCTGGTGCTATCAGCAGTACGATAGACTAATGACATCCTCTCTTTGCCAGCTCAACCCAATATTTGGAAGCAGCAGCATCGGCCCAGATTATCTAAGATGTGAAGTGACGGCTTACAGGTAAGGATCCAGGAACTCACATTTATTTATAACACTACAGTCTGAGCACACATTTCCTATCAGTTGGTTTAGCATCAGAATGAAGCGTAAATATTTTCCTCTTCCATAATTAAGCCCTACGATACTTCTGTCACTGTGGCTGGAAGAAGAACATGTTAATGTCAGCATAGGTTTCTAGGGGACACTGAATGGTTAGAGCTTCATAAATGGCCTATTTACATTATTGATTGGTAGAACATCGTTAAGGGGATTAATTTAGATTCCAGTAATAGGTGTACTTATGAATTACCATCTTATGGTAACAATGAGATCCCAGAATGAAACATATCTCTTCGTCATTAGCAAACAATTTAAACACATGAACAAATCTGACATTGGCTTTTCTATTATAGACCGGTGAGAGCTGGGAATGACACCGGGGTAGATGCCGTCTGCACCTACAGGCACGACTCCACTGCTCCCCCGTTTGACAGAGTGGGTGTTTACCATGAAATCCGCAACAAGACAAATGGCATCACCAAGCTCGGCCCCTACACCCTGGACAAGGACAGCCTCTATGTCAATGGTAACCAGATGATTTCTTAACAGTTTTCTGTACCGCTCATTCTGGACCATCCTTGCGTCTACTTGTCAATTCCTTCCCTCCCCACCTGTCTAGTTGCCCTCTAATCATAGAATCATAGAATAGAATCATAGAATATCAGGGTTGGAAGGGACCTCAAGAGGTCATCTAGTCCAACCCCCTGCTGAAAGCAGGTCCAATTCCCAACTAAATCATCCCAGCCAGGGCTTTGTCAAGCCGGGCCTTAAAAACCTCCAAGGAAGGAGATTCCATCACCTCCCTAGGTAA